GGGTTATGAATGGATGTGGTATGTGTTGACCCAAGGCTGACATCAAACTCTATTGACCTGTATTGTTCTCCTTCTTATTCACTGGAAAAGGTTCTCTCAACCAAACCCAGAAACTTGCTGATACAGCTAATTTAGCTAGCTAATTTGCTCTAGGCTGGACTTATAGCAGGCTGCCATAATTAGCATTTATGTGGGTGCTGGGGATCTGAACTCGGGTCTTCATGCGTGCACAGCAGGCCCTTTATTCAAAGCTTATGTGATTCAACTAAAGCAGGGCTTAGAGGGAAAGCTACAGTGATCAATGCATTATCTTACACACAAAGGGCTGGCAATGTAGCTGGTTGGCAAAGCATTTGGCAGGTGTGGCTGAAGCCCAGGGACAGACCCCCAGCACTGGGGAGGAAAGATGGCTATCATAAAAAGGCGATAGCTCAAGAGCTGGAAAAACAAAAGTAAATCAAATCTGAAATCCAAAAGTAATAATAAGCGATGAGCTGAAATCAAGCAAAGACATAAGTAACCTTAAAAAAAAATCAATATAAATATCAGTTCTTTGAAAACATGAATGAAATTGATACATTCCCAAGACAGATTGAGAGAAGAAAGCAAACAGGGAAATGTCTGCATTCTACAGACATTACAACGTTGAGGCATTTAAATGTCAAGAAAGTGAAAAATGGCCCATAGAAGAAGGAAATATATTTAGAAGGTATAAAGAACATGTACAGGCTCTGGGTGTGGTAGCACAAATCTATGATCCCCAGGTGGGAGCTGAAGGCCGGAAGAACAGGAATTCAAGGCTAGCCTCTGCTACATGGGGATTTTGAGGCCAGCCAGAGATACACAAGGAATATTTTAAAAGGAACACTTGCAAGTCACAAGAAGAAGAAAGGGGGAGGAGGAAGGAGAATCATTACTGAACTCAATAAAAAGATGCTCAACATCAGTGACCACGAGGCCATGCAAATGGAAATCATATCACTTCGTACCTAACATGGTAGCCAATGTGGTAGCCTAAGCCAAAAGTAATAGGTTTGCGCTGCAGAGAAACTGGGCCCTCGCATCTTACAGCAGGGATGTGCAATCATGCTGCTACTTTGGAAGACATCTGGCAGCTGCTCCCAAAGTTCAAACAGTTAACCCTTGACCCAGCAACTCCATTCTTGCATATGTACTCCGGGGGACTGAAAACCTTTGTACGCAAATACCTGAACATTCACAACAGCCTCGAGTGCAAACAGGTCAGCCGGTGAAATGTTATGTAGCCATACAACAAAATGCTACTTAGACACTGGAAAGGAATGAAGTATGGAGCATGTTGCACATGCCTGGGATCTTGGCACTGGGAAGCTGAGGCAGGAGGATGGAGAGGTCAAGTCCAACCTGGACTGTGTAGCAAGACCCTGTCTCCAAAGCAAACAATAATGGAGTCACGTGTCAGTACATGTTATAACATGGATGAAAAATGTTATGCTAAATCAAAGAAGCCAACCACAAAAGACCACATATGTGTGATCTCCTTTATATGAAATGCCCATAATAGGCAAATAAATGTTGGCGACAGAAAGGAGATTGGTGGGTGCCTTCTGCTGGGAGGGAATGGCTTAGAGAATGCAAACAGCTGCTAATTAGAACACTTTGCCTTTGGGGTGGGTAGGTGAGAGACCCTGAAGCTGGTCATGGAGATGGCTGTAGGACTTTGAACACACTAAGACCACTGACTGCGCCCGTGGTGTGGCATTAATTGTGTGCAGTGGAAATTATATCTCTACTAAACTGTTCAAACTATGGATATCCTTCAAAATCCACTCATGTGTTTCAGGTATGAAATGGTCTTCTAAAAAAGTTTATTAAAATAGGCACAAAGTGAAATAGGCAATGTGAGTTGTTACATATATAATCTTTTTAATATTTTTATTTGTATTATTATTGTGTATGATTGTGCTATGTATGCGCTGTGTGTGTGTGTGAGAGAGAGAGAGAGAGAGAGAGAGAGACAGAGACAGAGACAGAGAGAACATGAGGCCAGAGGACAACTTTCAGGAGTTGGTTCTCTCCATCTGTCGTGGCATCTGGGAACTGAAATCCATGTCATCAGGTTCCACAGCGTGTTTACTTGCTGAATCAGCTCACCAGCTCTCACACATAGCTTTTAAGAAACTAAATCTGGAGGGGCTGGAAAGACAGCTCAGTGGTCAATGACTCTTCCTAAGGACCAGAGTTGGATTCCCAGCACCCACATGGTGGCTCACAACTGCTTGTAACTCCAGTTCCAGGGTTCCATGCACTTTTCTGACTTCCTTTGCGGCGCATGTTTATACACACACTCAGAGCACGCATATGAGTAAACTAAAAATAAACATGAATAAATCTCACAAAATAAACCAACTCCGTACTCGGAACCCTTTCCTATAAGAAAGAACTTAAGGTTAAATGTTTCCAAGTGAATGGTCCCGGAATTGAGTGAGGAAGGAATGCAAGCCGTACTTGCTTTCAGAATCCGGAGAATACTTGATGACTTGTTTCAGGGAGCCAGCGTGGTTCAGATCTCAGAATGTAACAAGACCTTCATGACACACTGCAGGCCAGTCCCACGTGTCACTATGAATACAGAAATCCTAAACGACACATCCATCAGCCATCCATCACTGGGACAAAGTTGAGATAATTAACTTCTAAGGAAGAAACATTTCTTGGTGCATGGTTTCAGAGTTTCATAATCTCGGTTCTGGTCCGTCGCTGTGGGCATGTGGGTAGTCAGAGTGGCCGTGGGGGCACTTGGGAGAGGTCCAGGAGGCTGCTTGTCTCCAGGTGGCTGGGAAACAGGAACTGAGCACTCTCTTAGTACACCCTGCAGGGCCACAGCTTGCAGCAGCCCACTTCCTCCAAGTAGACCCCCTCCTACTGAAGTAGACCCCTGTAGTGAGATAGTCCTTCTGTAGCACTGACCACACCCATTGGGGGTGGAGCGATGGGTGAAAGTGACCTGTGGAAGGAGGTCGGAGGGGGCCAAGTAAGGCACTCTCTTTCAGACAGGAGAGGATCGGGTTGAATTTCCTGGTGTTCATCTGTCTAGGTTGTAAGTTAGTTCTCCCTGAATAAACATCTATTCGGCCTCTTTGTTTATCCTGATCCTTATTTACTGCGATAGACCCCCTCCTACTGAAGTTCCCACCAACCTCTCAGCGCTTGAATGCAGGGATCCATTTCAGATCCAAACCACAACAGAGCAGGAATGAGGCTGAAGAAACCCAAGGGACCCACATTCATGGAACCCAGTGAGGTCCCACTGCTTGCCTGACATACAGTAGGTGCTTTGTATGTGTTACCCATTCTCCCCCCCCCCCCCAAACATACAGCTGTAGAAAGGAAAGGACACAGGCTTGAACGTTCTCGTTACAGCTCCGTGAGGCGTTGAAACTAAGCAGGAAGTAAAAGCCAAGAGCCGTCCTCTTGGAGTGGGGCCAGATTCTCTCTCCATGGCTGCTCTCTAGGCTACTGCTGGGATGCAGCTGTTAGGGCAGCTGTTGACCTCTTTGACCAACTGGAAAAGATGCTGCCAAGTGGCAGATCTCCTCCAGGAGAACATTTGAGTGTGCTGAGAACAATAGCAGCGCACTTTGTTAGGCTCCAACAGTGTACCAAACATGGTAAATGTATGACTCAGCAACAATCTCGTCTGGGATAGATGCTCATTCCATTTTTTAGTATTTATACAAAGAACAAGCAGGTTCCCCAAGAAAGACTCTGTACAACATATCACCAGAGCTTAGTTATTTGCTGAAATGATAACAGATTGGCTTGAGAAAACATATATGAAAGGAATACAGAGCTACAGCCTGGAACGGTATCATACTCCCTATAATCCTAGCTCTTGCAAGGCTGAAGCAGGAGGATGGGGAGTTTGAGGCCAGCCTGGGCTACACAGTAAGATCCTGTCTGGAAGGAGGAGTTGGGGAGAGAGTGACGGAAGCAGGAACTTACAAATGTCAAAAGGGAAAAAGATGAATCATTTTCAGTCTCTGTAATGTGACATCTGTCCTTGCCCAGGACAGACAGGGGCAGCCGAAAACTGTCACTCAACACCTGCCATACGTGGGTCCCAGGACTCATGGATCACATTGTCAACTTGCAGTTTTAATTATTAACGCTAAAGGCTTAGCGAACCATTATGTTGAATTTGGCAGGTAAGGGTGGAATGGGAAGTCATCAAAGATTTTTTTACTCAGTGGTAAAACCGGAATGTCTATTGGAGGCAGGCAAAACTAAAAACACATTTTACTGAATGGATATGATTTTCTTCCAAGCCCAAATGTACAAGGGTCACAATCAAGCTGAGATTCTCCATTCCTGGGATATTTTCCAGAGGCAGAAGTTCATGTCTTCAAAAATGCTTGTGGAGAAATAAACCCCAGGCTGGAGGAGAGAGGCCGTGCACACCCTTTGTCTGGTCTGGAGTGGAGTTAGAAGTCAGCACTTGCTGTCACTCACAATTTGAGTGGCTTTGTAGAGGCCACAGAAGTGGGTCAGAGAGCACAGGTCTCATTAATCAACTCTGAGGTCAGAGCTGGAGTGGACATTCTTGAAGATTGGCCTAGTTGACCAAAGATGCACGGATGTCTGGGACTCCAGCCTACTTTTTCCTACTTTCCTCCAGGGAGTAATCGCATCAGACACCATATCTTATCTGGCCAATCCTTCCATTGCAGACGTGGGGGCCAGGGCCGTTGAGACAGGTCGGGGGTAACAGTGCTTGCTGCCCAGCCTGACCACCTGAGTTCTACCCCTGGGGCCCACGTAAAGATCAGCTACACAAAGACATGTCTGACTTTCACACGTCCATGGCAGGCACGCACACGTCCCCACACCTCATCGCATGTGTCTCACCTTCCAGTAAAGCGGGCCTGACTCCGTGGGCAGCCCCACGGCTGGATCAGGATTGCTGACGGAGCACCTTCATGTTTGTCCCTTTCAGAGATTCAGAGCCGCAGCTAGATGCCATGGACAGTGTGTATGAACCCACGGAAAGGGTGCAGCTGTTAGAGAAGGACCTGGCAGGGAAGCTAAGCGAACTGAAGCACGAGCTGGAAGAACGGGAGGTCCTTCCGCCGGCAGCTAACTGGGCCTTCAGGTAAACTGCAGTGTCAAGGCCGGGCCTCCGGGACCGCACCTTCGCGCCCCACAGGCTCGGTCTGCCCGCTCTTCTCTTCAAGAACAGTTGACATCACGTCAAGCTCGGATAAATGGCACACAAGGGCAGTTCCCAATGCCTTTGCTTCCCTGCCAGTACTAAACTAACCAGGCCCAGTCTTGCTTAGATGCTTAGCTGAGTGCGGGGCGCAGCCGCAGTGCACGTGCCCTTTCCCAATCCACCTTTAACGTTCTCAGAACAGTCAAGATAGATGGAAGCAAATCTTATCTAACGACGTGGGAAAATGTTGTGCTATTTTCCTAAGTCCCAGAAGCTCCTATGTAAGTGACAAGTTTCATTTTACCTATTAACATCCAATATGACCTTAGTTTTCTCCCTCCCGTCTTACCCACCTTCATCAAAGTTAAAACATAGGAAAGAGGTAAGAAATGGATCATCTCCAGCTTCAAAAACCTGACACCAAGTGTCCAGGTTGGGGCGTAGGTGTCTGTGGCCCATGGTCTTGTCCATTTGGCCACCCCTGCCTGTGCCCTTTCCATGTTATTACTTATTACGTGTGCTGTCAAAGTGAGAACGTGCTTTCTCTCCGTCCCCTCCCCTTAGTAACAGAGACCGAGCCCAGGGCCTTGCGCCATGCAAGACTAGTGCTCTAGCCACTGAACTACATCCCTAGTCTCCTACTCCCCAACAGGACTACTCTCCCACCAGGGACACACTGACAGCGTGTTTCACATCATTATCTGAGGACTCTTAGGGCCAAGCGAGCAATATCGACCTAAGTTTTCTGCCTACACCCATCCCTCCGGGTCCCTTAGGCGTGTTCTTGAACTAGGCTCTGTGGCTGCAAAATGCGGTCTTGCAAGTGTGGGACCTGTTTTGGGATGCCGTCCTCAGACGCGCCTACAGCTGCTTTCTTTGTACTGTCTATTGAATTTCACCAGGAGCTCTTCCGGCCCCAGGCTCCTCCCCTTGCTGGGGCCGCAGGCTCCTCCCCTTGCTGGGGTCCCAGGCTCCTCCCCTTACTGGGGCCTCAGGCTCCTCCCCTTACTGGGGCCTCAGGCTCCTCCCCTTACTGGGGCCTCAGGCTCCTCCCCTTACTGGGGTCCCAGGCTCCTCCCCTTGCTGGGGTCCCAGGCTCCTCCCCTTACTGGGGCCTCAGGCTCCTCCCCTTACTGGGGCCTCAGGCTCCTCCCCTTGCTGGGGTCCCAGGCTCCTCCCCTTACTGGGGTCCCAGGCTCCTCCCCTTGCTGGGGCCTCAGGCTCCTCCCCTTACTGGGGTCCCAGGCTCCTCCCCTTGCTGGGGTCCCAGGCTCCTCCCCTTGCTGGGGTCCCAGGCTCCTCCCCTTGCTGGGGTCCCAGGCTCCTCCCCTTGCTGGGGTCCCAGGCTCCTCCCCTTGCTGGGGTCCCAGGCTCCTCCCCTTGCTGGGGTCCCAGGCTCCTCCCCTTGCTGGGGTCCCTCAGTCTGTTGTCAAGCTGAGCAAAGGACTCCGGGGCCTGAACTTCTCCCCAAGGCTGCTACACGTTTCTTGAGGACCAGTCAGCCATGCTCCTGAGGCAGAAAGCTTGGTTAGAAACATTTCCAAGTATTTCCCATCTGATATTTGTGGGTTGTTTCTACCCTCGGATAACTGGGCAGGAACATGAAAACAAAATGTTTCAGTGGCAAGGAGAAACTGCAAGGTTCGACAGGCTGTCACACTGGCTGTCACGCGGGAGATTTCTGAAGGGGACACAAGTACGGGAAACCACTGCCCTGCCCCCCCCCCCCGTTACTCTCTCTGAAACGAGGGGCTGGAAAGGGTCACAGAGCTGGCCATCATCTTCTTTATTACAGCTTTCCATAACTGCGGTTTCTGTTGTCCAAACTTTCCTGCAGCTCCGTTCAAATGCCAAAGGATGTCGCTCACTTCAGACGCGAACGGGAATTGGCTCTGAAGAGAACCCTCCAGGTGAGTGGGGCGTGGATGGCTTCAGGGCAGCACATTCGATTTCACCTCTCAGGGAACTATTCGCAAGGGAAGTTTATATTTTGCAAACGGCCTTGTCGGTGCTAGAAATGTGCAAATCACCGTATCCTCGGGGAGATTTGATTTTGTGACGTGTGGAATTTGATAGATTGATGATGTTTGAAACTCATTGGTTTAGGTGGCCGAGTGCAAGCCCCTTGTTATTCAGGCAGATGTCCTGCAGAGGGAGCTAGAGAGCTGTCTAAGGAGAGAGTACACGCCGGAAAACCTTCCTCTGCTTCTGCTGCAGGTAAGGGTCATCTTCAACCAGTAGAGCTTGCTGACACATTCCCGGAGCGCTCCACGAGTTTCTACTCTGGAAGTGACTCTGGAAAAGGGTCAGCAAAATGGCTTTCTGGCAGATGCTGTGAGCAGCTGTTCTGGACACGAGTAATTTGCAGACGTGGTGTAAATGCTCCCTTTATGGGAGCAGCTAAGTTGCTGGGCTGAGCAATTGGCTAGGGTCTGACTAAATACTGTCTGTGCGTGCATCTGTGCGTGCGTGCGGGTGTTGTGCCGTGCAAGGCGAACCTACTCCTCCCAGAGGCCTGGAAGACATTCCCAAAAGTTTTCTTAAGAAAACAACTCAAAGTAGGAAAACAGTTTTCCATCAAGATTGCTGCAATGTTATAATAAAAGTGAGAGAGAGGGAAAGAAGTTAGGAAGGGAGGGAGGGAGCAAGGGAGGGAGGGAGAAAGGAGGGAGAGAGCCTTACTACTGACAAGAAAAAGGCAAAACAATGTAGATGGCTACTCAGTAGATTGTTGTTCTAGCATTAAATGTTTAACTTTTTCACAAGGTATTATCACATCTTTTAATATTAATTAAACATCTTTAATATTAATTAAAAGCTATGTATATGCACTCGTAATAACGATCAAATAAAAGCATAGAAGAATCACTAAGTTTAGATGGCAGGATAATTAAAATCCCCTGAACTTTTACATAGCTCCTCAATTTAGCACAATCATGTACTATCTCAAAATGTAAAATGGTTTGTTCTTTACTTCTATTAAATCACTTGATGTAGTCCCATGCTCTGAGTTGTTTCCCCTCATGCATAAAAATTAGTTCTTCAGTAAGTAGTTAGCATTGACTGCAAAAGATGATGAGTCTATTTGCAAGTTAAAAATGTTCATTCAGAATCTTCTCTCCCTGTAATTATCTTTCTTTCCTCCTTCCCTCCCTCTCTGCCCCCTCCCTCCTCCCTCCTCCCCTCTCTCTCAGCTTCCTTCCCTGCCTTCTTTCCTTCCTTCCTTTTTCCTGGTACCCATTCTTGTATATTCTCTCTCTCTCTCTCTCTCTCTCTCTCTCTCTCTCTCACACACACTCTCTCTCTCTCTCTCTCTGTGTGTGTGCGTGTGTGTATATATATATTCTGGTATTCATTCTTTTGTTTTATTTTGTTTTGTTTTTCGAGACAGGGTTTGTCTGTATTACTGCTTTGGAGACTGTCCTAGAACTCGCTCTATAGACCAGGCTGGTCTCAAACTCAGAGGCCCACCTATTTCTGCCTTCCGAGTGCTGGGATTAAAGGTGTGTGCCACCAACGCCCGGCCCAGTTATTCATTCTTGTAAATCAGTGGTTCTCAGAGGAGAGAGGAGGAATAGGGTGATAGGTATCTGTCCCCTAGAGGTCATATGACAGTATCTGGAGGTGGGTTTGGTTATCAAAATTTTGGGGCAGTGGGCATATACAATTGGTAGCATCTTGTGTTATGTTGTTGGCGGCTAAGGATGATGTTGAGCACTCTAATACACTGCAGCTAAGAATTATGCAATCCCAATTGTCATCAGTGATAAGGCTGAGAAAGTTCTAGAACATTCTGAATTTCCATAGCATATTCTTTGCTGTCTGCCTAGGAAGCTTCCTTTAATAACTCGTGCAGTTCACATCTGCCAGGAACAGATTCTTGCAAAGTTGTTGTTTTATAAAAATAATTTTCCTTTCATTTTATCAGGGTGTTTTTGCTTGGCATAGAGTTCTGGACTGACAATTTTTATCCTTTGTCATCTTAAAGCTGCTACTCTATCCTCTGCTGCCTTGAATGGATTCTGCTTCTGAACACAATGCATTTCCTGCTCTCTGGCTGTTTTAGGCTTTTAATGCTTTTTAACTGTCTTATGACATATAATATCATAAAAGTCACATGTTTGTGGTGAGGTGTATATTCATGCATACATATATCACACACACAGTGAAGTTTTCTTGGCTTTTCTCTTGCTCGGAATCACACCTAACCTTTCAGGGTTGCGAGCTTATTTTCTCTTCCCAATGAGGAAAGACTTTTCCCTGCTTTGCTATCAGAGCCTTCACTCCAGGGTAGCTTGTGCAAGGTCAGATGATGTGAATGACCCTGGCCCAGGACCATGACCTCAAGTTGTCTCAGATTCTATGTTACAGCATGGTGTCAGCGTCATAAAGTTCTTATAGTGGTGTAACAAAGTCACAAATGAAGACAATTTTCAACCCTGGGGTGAGCCTCAGGTAGGCAGATTTCAACTACATGCTTCAGGTGCTATCTGGTGGCATTTTTAGCCTGTGGTTGTTGGGAAGGGAGGCTGTTTGCACATTCCAGAGGGTTTACCCAACATTCGTGACGATGTAGGTCAGACACAGAGGGGTCATTCAACTGTTAAAGGCTAAGTCTCAAACTCAAAACATCAGAAAAAGCTTTAAACGTTTGAAAGCATGAGCTGCAAATGAGCAATTAGCTCTGAAACCACCTCCTCTAAGTATTCTGGCACTCCGTGTTTCCTTTCAGAGTTATAGAAGGTGCTGGAAAGGCGGTGGTGTTGCTGAACTAATAATCTCACTACTGAGAAACCTCTAACTTCTCCCAGATCTCATTATGTGCCTTGGTCCAGGTCCAGGCTTCTCATATCCATATCAAGGGCAGGAACCAGCCCTGGGCATCGAACTTGGGGATGTTCTGCACTGCAGTTGTTCATCCATTAAAGCATTCCGCATTGCCTCATAAGGACCCACATGCTGTCCCTTGTGGTCCTGTCCTTGTCCCGTGTTGGTGCACGGCTCCGTGTGGAGCTCCTGTTGCTGTCTGCAAGCGTGCCAACTTTGCTCATGCCATGTCTCATCTGCTTCTAATCTAGTCCATTCGAGTTTTTGTTTCAAACATGTACTTATTTTTACACCTCACAATGTTCTCCTAGCTATGGTCCCATTCAAGTTTCGAGCATGCTGAGCATACTGTGAAAGACCTGTGGAGGCTGTTTCTGCTGGCTCTTGTGTTCTCATCACTAATTCTCTTCTGCCCATAGGTCGTTTTTATTGTTCCTCTGCGTGTTTATAAATGAATGCTAAAAACAAGCAAGCTTTCACTACTGGGTGTCATGTATTCTTATATGTCCTGTAAAGTGCCGGACTTTGTTCTGGCAAGCTTTTAAGTTACAGATCAACTTACTCTTTTCAAGGCTTGCCCCGGATGTATTTTGTTCTAGGCATAGTTCGTCCCTGTTACTGGTATCAACACTGGATGTCTGAGGCATCCAGGTCGGAGCCTTCATACTGGTGCTTGGAATCTGACCACTGTGCAGCTCTGTAGGAACTCTAGAGCTGTTGGGTGTGACCCAGTGGGTTATTGTTTGCACAGCCTCCTCATTTAACCTGTTGCCTGGCTAGGCACTCAATGACAGGCCTGAGGGGCTGTGCACATTTCCAGAGCCTTCTCTGCACCACCTCCTCCTCTCTGTGCTGCTGCGAACATTTCAGTTTCTCTCCTCAAGAGAAATCTCTCCTCTCAGAGAGGTTCCTTTCCCTCCTGTGACCCTGAAGCACAAAGGAGGCTCTCTCCTCTGGGGAACCAAGTTTTCTTCTTCAAGCCACTATGTCGTCCAGGACTAGAAAGCACTTGCCTCTTGGATACTGTCAGATTTGCTCCTTGTGATGAAAGGGTATGACAGGACTCATTTATTCACAGACAGTGTTATTTTTAGTGCCAGAGAGGAAAATAAAGAAGTTAGCTTTTGAAAAAGACATCTCTCTGCATGGCTGGCCTTAGTCCGCCTGCCTCAGTCTCTTGAGTGCTAGGATTACAGAGACATGTCACTGTGTTTAACTATTTTTAATTGTAAACAAAGTTTTTCAGTCTGATTTTATAAGCTGCAATCTTATTTTTCTTTTCTTTTTTATTATCACAGTGTGTCTGTGTGTGTGTGTGCGTGTGTGTGCACGAGCAAGCATGAAATACATGTATAGGAGTGTGTCATAGTGCACATGTGGAAGTCAGCAGACATTTGTGGAACCACTTTCTGCCTTCCACCCTTGCAGGGGTCCCTGGGATAAACTTGGTCTGTCAGGATTGCGTAACAAGTTCCCTTTTCCAAAGAGCCACCTCCCTGGACCACTGATCTTACTTGTAACGTACTTTTGACTCCTAGTTTTTGGTATGTGTGTGTGTCCACATGGATGCATGGCTACATGTGCGTGCTTGTATATTTCCCATAGGAGAACCTCATGTTTCATTCCTTAGTGCTGTTTACCTTCTTGTGAGACGGGATTTCCCACTTGGAATTTGCCAACTAGGGAACGCTGAGTGGCCAGCCTGTCTCTGCCTCCCCGGCATTCTGGGTGCCGCCACCCCAGCTTTCCTTTCCCTTCTTATTTATTATTTGTTTGTTTGTTTGTTTGTTTTTAAACATGGCTTCTGGAGGTGAGACTCGGGCTTTTGTACTCTCATGTAAAGCATTTTACTGATTAAGCTATGTCTCTCACCCATAATTTCAGTTCTTTAATCCAAACCTTCAGCTCGACTCTGCACCCTCTGGTGTCCTAATTCACTGCCCAAAGCCCGGCAACTGATGAAAGGTTAAGATCAGCTCGCCCTGCAGAGACTCAGCCACAGCCACACCCTCTTGCTCCCTGTCTCAATGATCTTGAGCCAGAGCAACCAGAGGTTGATTTACCCATTGTTTAGTGTTCTTGAGACTCAACTCGGGCTTTGTCCTCTAATTATATCGTGGCGAGTTCTTACTTTTGTTGTTGGGAAAGTATTACACAGAGAGAATTACGCACCTGGCCCAGAGTAAATATTTGCACATGCTGAGGTGGAAACGGCTCTGCCAGACCAGCGAGACCATGGAGGAACTCCACCCTCTTTACAAGGTAGGAAGTAGGAAGCCGGGAGCATGGCCTGTGGCCTCCACACACCACACATATCCTGTTTTTATTTTAAATCCTGTGTGTACCTGTGTGGGCTAGCCTGCATGAATGCAGTGCTCATAGAGGCCAGAAGGGGGCACCAGAGTCCCCCTAAAACTGGAGTTACACATGACTATGAGCTGCCCTTATGGGAGCTGAAAATCCAACTCCAGTGCCCTGGAAGGGCGAGCACCATGTTTAACCACTGAACCAACTCCAGGTGTCTACATGCCAGCTTGCCACTGTTCTGAAGGGCAGGGTGACTGTGACATCTATGTCCACTAAAGCCACTTGCTGGGTTGAGGGGGACCTTCTTTGGGGAGGACCAGTGTTTCGTCAAAGATGTACACATAACTACACTCCCCAGCACGAGCCTCCAAACCAGCTTTCAAGGTCCATTTGTAGGAGAATGTGGTAGTCAAGCTTCCGAGACTCGGGGCATGCCAAATGTCTCCTTCCTTCCTTTTTAATCACATCTAAAGATAGGACAGGAAATGTTGTAGACCTTCCCATGTGTTCTGCCATACCTTAAATAGCAAAAGACAAAGATTGCTACTTGTTGTTGTTGTTGTTGAGACAAGGGCTCACTATATAGCAACTCACTGTGTAGTCCAGGTTGGACCATAGACAGGTCTTTGGTTCTCAAGTGCTGGCATTAAAGATGTAAGCCACCATGCCCAAAAGATTCTTACTTTGAAAAATGGGGCTCTGAAGTAATTTTTACATAGAGATGCGTTCCATTAGACTCAAGGCAGGACGCTCAGATGTGGACTCCTGTTACCAAACAGCCTCCTGCGCTGACTATCAAATGCTGTCCCTCAGAGTCAGGGCAGTGGTATGAACCCTGCCTCTAGTATCCAAACCCAAACTACAGAAGAACTCAGGGGTTCCCAAAGCCCCTTATTTGAGCCCCAGACAGCACTTCAGAAAGCAAGGCTTGCTAACAGCCTGTGGTCTGTTTGTGTCTCTTTTTAACAGAAACAAGTTGGCTACATCATGCAGGAATTCAATGATGCAGTTCAGAGGGCAGAAAGGCTGGCGGTTGCTAGGGAGAACTTCCTTATGGGAAAAAGCAATCCTCCCAATCTCGTGACACCAGAAGACCTGGCGATCTACACCAGGTGGCTAGTGTGCCACCTGCACTCGCTCAGGACCATCCATCACTACCTGCAGGTATAGGGCCATAGTGTGCTGGGCCAGGCCCTCTGTGGGAGGGGGACCTCAGGGTACCAGACCGCCTGGGTTGGGATGTGGCTGGAGCCTGGGAAAACATCTTTTACTGAACACTCCATTAGTCTGGCTCTTTCAGAAGCCCCTCTCGCATCCTGCTTTATACCTGCTCGGTTCTTGCCTCCATTGGCTTCTTGGAATCTGTGTTCTTCATGAACTGGACACACTCTTACTCAGCAGTATTTAATGAGGAAATCATAAGTTAGGATACCTGCCCTAGGCCCACGAAGCAAAGGCCTGGCCTTGGCTGAAAAGTTAACAGGGTCCTGGGCCAGTGGGAAGAGGAGGAGTAGGTCTGTATTATAGATTGATGGAGTAAGAAAGAAGATCTGGGCCGTACATCGATGCTGCCTCATCCCAGCGCCTCCCCCCCCCCCCCCCCAATGGCTGTGTCGAGAAAGTCTTGATTCTGAGGCCACCCTGGGCTCCACACTGAGTTGGAGGTTGGCCTTATTGGCAGTGAACACTTCTCTCAGAAAACAGTAATGACTAATAATAAAAATAAGTGCCTGTAACAGCTCAGGGGTGATATAGTCTGAGCTGGGCCAGCATCCAACGCCAGCACTGTCAGAGAGAGTGGTCAGGGGGAGTAATGGGGTGGAGAGAATTACACAGGAGAGACCCTGTCAGGTTAGAAGGGCACAGAAAAGTAACTTGACCTCATTTCCAGGAGTGGTCATTCAACTCCACCCCCTCCCAAAGCCAGCAGCCTCCGTGGGCTTTACTTCCTCTCCACGGTCATATGACAGTACAAACACGTGCTCCTAAATCCAGATCTAACACTTACACCTGGTCCTTTCTCTTCACACCCTGAGCACCCACACAGCGCCTCTTCCACCCGTGTGTATGACCACGCCGGGACAGGCTGGGGGGAGGGACTCCCAGCTCTGTCCTCTATCACAGTGCAGGGTTCTAAGGTCCCGCCTGGGCCTCCCTCCTTCATTCATCACAACAGAAGCCTACAGCGTCTGTGAACGCCAGGGCAACCTGTGTGCTGCTGCTCATGTCTCTGTAGGCCCTCCAGTACTTGCCCATCTCCAGAGGCCTGCAGAGTCTAGCTGGTACCCGAGTCTCTGAACCTAGTGAGGAAAAAGGAAAAGTCTGTGTCACCGACGTTGACTCTGCCAGCATTTCAGGTAAGAAATTGGCCCTTACTAGGGTCGAATGGAGACAGGAGGGCTGTGGTTTTATGCTCAGCCTCTTTTGTTCCACAATCTTCCAGAGCATATGTCATAGTATTCCCATATTACATTTTTGTAATAAATTATAATTTAATATTAGTATTTCCTGATGGAAGACAGTGGTGTAGACATTTGTCTCCACCTTTGGAGCTACATGTATTGACCTCTAGGCCTGTTTCTACCGTGGGCTTCCTCGGGCCTCTGTTTACTCATTTACATATTAACCCTTCCACATGAAATGACCTGTAAGACTTCATATCCCACACCGTAGTATCACACAATTCAGCATCACACACTTCAGTATTACAGTTGTCAGGGAATTTATGTCAGAGTCCATTTCACAGTCTCTCTATCCTTACTTTGCGTTACTGAGTACTGAGAAACCTGACCAGGTTTCTGCTCTCAGGGCACCTGAGGGACACCCCATTATATACAGAATGTCCAAGGAGCGTCACCTGGACAGGCAGCCAGTGGTGGGGACAAGGAAGGCTTCTTCATTTCTTCAGGATAAGCAAAAGGAAGGGCTGGTTAATTTGTCACCGGCATGTCACTTACCACAGGACCACACACAGGTGGTCCCACTGTCTTAGGGTTTCTATTGATGTGGCAAAAACACCATGACCAAAAAGCAAGTTAGGGAGGGAAGGGTTTATTTGGCTTACACTCACAGATCATACTTTGTCACTGGGAGTCAGGACAGGAACTCAAGCAGGGCTGGAACCCAGAGGCAGGAGCTGATGCAGAAGTCATGGAGGGCACTGCTTTCATGGCTTGCTCAGCCTGCTTTCTTATAGAACCCAGGATCACCAGCCCAGGGATGGCCCCGCCCACAATGGGCTGGGCCCTCCTCCATCAATCACTAATTGAGACAATGCCTTACAGCTGGAGCTCATGGAGGCATTTCCCCCAACTGAGGCTCCCTCCTCTCTGATGACTCTAGCTTGTGTCAAGGGTGGTCAAGTTGGCATACAAACCCAGCCAGTCCCGGGGAGGTGTAGTGGGCTTCTCTGCCTGGTGGGCTCGGTGGTGGGGCTGGGGTCATGAAAGCCAGTCCAGGTAAGATGCTGACTTACCACGGGGAGAGCAGATCTGCTCGCCGCCAGCAGAGGGCCCGCTCTCAACTCTCCCATGCACTCTCTGGTTTTCCAATTCTTGATTTTGGATATTTTTCTGGGCCAGGGACAACACGTGCTGCCTTCGTCCTGCCTCAGCACGTGACAGAGAAGGAAGAGCTGAAACCTCAGCTGAGGCATCTGCTCTCGAAGTTCCACATCCCCTATGACCTACAGAAGCTGACTGACTCCGCCAAGGAGATGGAACTCTTTTCTTTGGTACATAGTGCACTCTTACTATACATATGAATAGCTGGCCCAAAGCGAAGGAATTTGCTACAAAGTTGCTTGGCTGTTAGTTTAAGCGAAGGAATTTGCTACAAAGTTGCTTGGCTGTTAGTTTGAGACAGGGTCTCACATAGCACAGGCTGGCCTCAACCTTGAACTTTCCATCCTCCTGCCTCCTCCTCCCGAGTATCCTGATTATAGATAGGTGTGTGCTGCCGTGTCTGACACAAAGTTGTTTGTTTCTTCTGCCGGTGCTTGTTTCTAGAGTAGTAAGATACAATAGTAACAAGCCATCCCCCCGTCCCGTTGGGAGGAGCTTCCTTTCTACAAGAATAACAAGACCTTCTGAGATAGTGAACCAGAGAGATTTTACCTTTGGTTTTTAAAGAAAACGGCAGAAGGACATGGCCTGAAGAAGATATAAATGTTCTCCAGGTTAGACAGACATGCCTGGAAGTGTTGTCAAGCGTGTGTAACCCTCTGAATCTAAGAAGGGATCACAGTGTCCTTGACATATTAAACAAGGTTATGCCCAGTCGAGCACACCGCGGGCTTTGAGGGATGCGGTCCTACCGCCTCTTGCCACTGTAACCTGGTACTGCGTTCTGTTAAACAGAAAGCCTCACAACATCAAAAGCCATATGAAGACTCTCTTCAAAGGGGAAAGTGGGCAGTGGGCACAGAGCTGAAGATTTAGAACATAAAAACAATAGTACTTTCAATGATGAGATACCCTGCCAGCTCTAGTTTGTACATTGTCTGCGAGATAAAAATGGTCAGCTGGCTGGCTGGAACAGGACAGAATCGAACTTGGGTGGTTTTGAATGACCTTGGGATGTGAGGTCCCACGTCGAGCCTGTGCTGGGGATGGAGCTCTCTTGGTAGAGAGCTGACCCTGCGGACACTTGTTTTCATGCCAGAACCATTTAGCAGGACTGCACTGCTTTGTCTGTAACACATTCTTCTGGACCTGGCATGACCTCGTTCCTCTGGCTTCTTGGAAGACTGGGGTGTAGCTTTTGCCTCCCCCCTCCTCTTCTGCTACCTCTTCCTCTCTTCCCTTCCTCCCTCCTCTCCCCTTTCTTGCCCCCCTCCCCACGCCTCTTTCTGACATTCTCTGACATTCTTTTATGTAGCTCAGTGGCACAGTTAGGTCACTGTCATTGTGATGAGACACCGCAGCAGCCGAAATCACCTGGGAGAGGGAAGAGTTCATTTGGCTTACACTTCCAGATCACAGTCCGTTGGCAGAAGCCAGGGCAGGAACTCACAGGAGCTGATGCAGAAGCCACGGAGGATGCTGCTTGTGACTTGCCTGACCTGCTTTCTTACAAAACCCAAGACCACCAGCCCAGGGATGGCTCCACCCGATATGTGCTGGACCCCTCCCCCATCGGTCATTGTCAGAAAGGAACACAGTGAAATCCCTGAAATAGACCACCCTATGGGTAGACAGAAAAGTTTATGGGGTATAACTCTGCCAACACAGTCTCGGGGTTGGGGCTTGCAGAAAGAACAGCAAACAGACACAGAAGCCTTGCCAGTTTTTAAAGGAAATAGGTAGCAGCCAGGGGCGGTGATGCTGGGTCAGGTGGGAGCTGGGACAGCCTGGGAGCTAGCGTGGGAACTTTGATGTGTTACAGGCTTGTTTGAGTTCTTCAGGGACTAGATGCTTCGGTGGCAGAGATAGTTGCCTGTAGGAGGCTGATAAGAAACAAGCAGAATTGTGCTTTATAAGGTTCCTGAAGAATGCTGAGCTTAGGTAGCAGTCCTTCTGTTTACCCAGTCAGATCCCAGCCTCAGCTGAGCCCAGACTGTCATTTAGGACACAACAGCATTGCCATCCGGGGGTCCAATTTGAACCTAATAATTATTAAGTAGGAAAATGTCCATCAGCTTGCCTACAGTCAGATCTCATGGAGACATTTTCTCAGTCGGAGGTCCCTCCTCTCTGGTGACTCTAGCTTGTGTCAAGTTGACATGACACTAGCCGGTACGCCCAGACTGGCTACAAAACTCACAGTCCTTTTGCCTCAGCCTCCCAAGTACTGGGATGACAGGTGTGTAGGGCTTGCCCAGAACTTTTGTCCTTTGTATGTAACAATAATAAAAGAATGTGAGGCCCTGAGCACCCCAACAAAGCAGCCTTGCTCCCAAAGATCAGCATGTCCTTTCATGGCAATTACAGTTCACAGCTTTGATTTCCTTAGAGCAATATTAGCTTATTAGCTATGCTTCTGGGATGATTAAACATTCCAGTGTGTGTGTGTGTGTGTGTGTGTGTGTGTGTGTGTGTGTGCATGAGTGTGTGCATGTGCTTAGGTTTTATTTTTCCTGGTGCTTTAATGCCATAGGACAGGGTCAGCCAGCTGCAGCCTGCAGCCCACCACCTGTTTTTCCAAAATAAAGCTCTATTGGCATCCAGCTGTCTTGGTCCATTCCAACTACTATAACAACAGGCCACAAACTGAGGGCTTAAACCAGCTGTTTCTTACTGTGAGATTGTCACAGTCAAGGCAGATTTGGCACCTGGGGGGGGGGTTCATATTGCCTTTGTGTGTGTGTGTGTGCCTTCCCTAGTAGAAGGGCAAAGGTCTCTCAAGGCCTAATCCTGCTCATAGGAACTAATTATATCCCAGTGCCTTCGCCTAGACCCTTCAACTCTGGGGTTAGGATTTCAGCCCACTCACTTTGTAGAAACACAAATATTCAAATGCTAGCAACCTCATGCCTGCTAATGTGTTATCTGGGGCTATGTTCATACCACAGAGGCAAACGTGAATAGTTGTGGTCTGCAAGAACTGAAATATTAGCTATCTGATCCATTAAGAGTGAGTGTGTAGCCCAGCTCTAGACTAGCATCTCTTGTTAACCCTGCCAGGATGGATGTGTTCACGGCCATGCTGTATGCAGACTTCCTTGCTGGGGCTTTGGCACCCAGCATGGTAGGTAGGTTCTCCCCATGGGTGTGTGTGTGTGTGGGGGTTACATATGCATGGCATGGCAGTTACCATTTTACTCTTGTTAAGTAGCACCGAGAAGTTTCCCATCGCTGTGTAACAGTCACAGTGCTCTGTGGCTGAGCACCAGTGGAGGAGGAAGGCGCTGGCGGTAGGAAGTTAGACTTGTAGCCTCAGCCTGAAGATGAGGGTGAGGGGTGAAGGGAATGAGCAGGCACCATAATTACTGACATTATAGCATCTGGACTCTTCTCACTGGAATCTCTGAGGCTGCCGAGACGGGATTTATTTAACCCTTAGATGTTCTAGTTTCCCAAGTCATCAGAGAGCCCGAATCTCTCAGAGGTGGGTGTTTTGCGTCCTGCTTATATTTAAGGTCCAACCCAATGTATACAAGTGGATTGTTAATGCTTTTCCGGTCTTTGGAGCGGATATTCAGCACACGTGACACGTGCTGACCATGATAACAGATGGAGAACGTGTGCCACGCAGAGGTGTCCACGTTAAGCACTGTCATAACAAAGATGTCTTCACGAGTCACTTCCTTTCCAGGGCGATTTTGAAGACAACCGGTAGGGGCTAGAGAGATGGCTCAGCAATGAAAAGACCTGGGTCCCTTCCAGAGAACCTAAATATGATTCCCAGCACCCAGAACCATGGTGGCTCACAACCACTTATAAATCCAGTCCCGGGGGATCTAACACCTTCTTCTGGCCTCCTAGGGCACTGAACATATGAGGCACATAGACATACATGTGGGCAAAATAGCCGTGTACATAAGTAAAAGATAAAATTGTGTATGTGTGAAAGAGAGGGGGGAGATGGGGGGTGGGAGGGACGGAGGGAGGGAGGGAGATAGATAGATAGATAGATGGATGGATGGATGGATGGATGGAGATAGATAGATAGATAGATAGATAGATAGATATAGAGAGTGAGAGCTGTTTGAGATCCCAGGTGTTTTCCCTCCAATCTCTTGTGTGTGTGTGTGTGTGTGTGTGTACATGTGTGAGTGTGTGTGGTAAACATGTATATGTGTATGCAATGCAGGCCTGTGCGTTTGTTTGTGTGTGAGGACCAGAGGAGGAAGTCGGTGTCCTGATCTATCCTGACCTTGCCTTACTCCTTGACACAGAGTGTCCCCTTGAACTTGGAGCTAGGCTGGTGGCCAGCAGAGCTGGAGAACCTCCCATCTCCTAACCCAGTAGTGGTGGGCTAAACACATGTGGTCACGGCTGGTTTTTGTTTGTTCCTCTGCTTTTTGTGTTTTGTTTTTAATGTAAGTGTCGGGATCCAAACTCAGGTCCTCATGCTTGGACAAAACTCCCTTCCACCCTCCCTCCTTTCCCTCTCTTCTTAATTTTTATTGGCATTTAAGAGAAAAACACCGGAGCAGACAAGCTATAAGTCTCAGCAGGTGCCCGAGAGAGAAGATAGAGAAAAGAAGGAAAACACCATAATGCTGAGTCAGGCGTGGAGGTCAGCGATGTGGTGGACAAGCACCCGGGGAGACCAGCTTTAGACAGGGAGCGAAGCCCAGAGTGTTAGCTTAAGCCTTCTTAGAATAGGCGATGAAAGAAGAAAAGGAAAGGTACTCTTTCCGAGGGATTTGGGAAAGCAGACCTTCTGAAGGTCCGTGGTTCTAGCTCTGTAAGCAGCTATGCCGACGCTGGGCATTCTGGGAAGGCCCCATCCCTCTCTTCTTAATCCTCCTTAGGTTTCTCAGAGCTTCCAGAGCATCTTCATGGAGCAACAAAGGATGCGAACATTCCCAGACTACGAGACCGGAAGAGCTAAGGTGCAGAATTTGTCAGGACCTGCTGCTACCCTGAAAAAGAGAGCCGCCTGGGTTCCCTTCGTGAAGGTAGGGGCTGCCGGGACCGGGGGCTGCGGGGACCGGGGACTGCCTGTGACGGCAGCAATGCCAGAACCTTCCCTCCAACTGAGCAGGCACCCTGGCATCACCAGGCTCTTCTGGTTCCTTTTGTACCCAGAGCGAATTGTCCCCTAGGGGCTAGGGGACAGAAGCCTGTCCTCAACAGAGACCACTCAAAGCCCCACCCTGGTCACCAAGTCCTCCCCACTCTCCCTCAGCTCTTCCTGTGCACCGAGTCCTCCCCACTCCCCCTCCTCAGCTCTTCCTGGTCACCGAGTCCTCCCCACTCTCCCTCCTCAGCTCTTCCTGGTCACCGAGTCCTCCCCACTCCCCCTCCTCAGCTCTTCCTGGTCACCGAGTCCTCCCCACTCCCCCTCCTCAGCTCTTCCTGTGCACCGAGTCCTCCCCACTCCCCCTCCTCAGCTCTTCGTTGAAGGTAGTCACCCCACTGTCTGAGCTGGAAGTTCCTCCAATACCAGAAACCCACTCTAGAGATCTGCATTTCTTTCTTCTTTTATTTATGTCTCTTCGACCTGTTTGCTTTAAAAGGCAGAAATTTCATATAGCCCAGACTGGCCTTGTTCACTATACTATGGGGCCAAGGATGGCCTTGAACTCCTGGTTCTCCTGTATCAGCTCCCTTTGTGCTGGCGTTACAGGTGTGTGCCACAATATTTGGCTAGAGCTCCTCCCAACACACACACACACACACACACACACACATTCTTTCTTTCTCTTTCTCACTCACACACACATTCTCTCACACTCACACACACACTCACACACATGTACACACACTCTTTCGCTATCTCACACACACACTCACACACACTCACACACATGTACACACACTCTTTCTCTCTCACACACACTCCCTCACATACACACACACTCTCACACACAAACATACACACACTTAACACACATGTACACACACACAGCACACAGAGCTTTTGAAAGCTGCTATTATTCTGTAGCCAAAGCTGGTCTTGAACTCATGGCCATCCTCCTGCCTTGGCCTCTCAAATGCTGGGGCTTACAGGTGCATGTCACTATGCCAGGCTCCCTTCTCACCTTTAATGGCTTCATATGTGTGGCAAGGACAAAGTGTGATACTCAGAAATATAATTGATTTGTGTAAAGCCAGTGCTTTAGTTTAAAACTATTCCTGGATACTTACCATGTCAGGCCCATGGTATTGAAGATGCAGGATTAACAACGATGCCTGAGCACCAGGGTTAACACAGTGGCACACTAGTTGGTGAGGAGTACAGCCAGATCTCAATAGCCAAGTAGTCTATGTTCTAGAAAGAACCAGACCACTGGGTTAGTTAGCAGATCCAGAAATCCAAGTTAGGTTCCTGAGAGCCTGTGGTCAAAGCAGCAGTTAATCCAGAGCCAGCTCTGGCGCCTCAGGCTTGTAGTTCCAGAACTTGGGAGGTTGTTGTAGGAGTCCTGCTACCAGTTCAAGAATAGCCTGGGCTTCAGTGAGTTCCAGACCAGCTTAGAACACAGTAGTTCAGCTATAGACCGAGGCCTTATTTCACAAAGGAAAGGAAGAAAGGAAGGAACAAAGGAAGGAGGAAAAGAAACAAAACCCTGAGACTTCCAGTTTTTTGTTTGTTTGTGTGTGTGTGTGCCTGCCTGAGTGTATGTTTGTGAATTCTTTTAAAGAGTAATATATATGTACATATACATATATAACTCTGTGTGTGTGTGTGTGTGTGTGTGTGTGTGTGCCTGCCTGAGTATATGTTTGTGTATCACAGCCATGCAGGTACCACTGTAGGCCAGAAGAGGGCACCAGATCCCCTGGAATTTTAGCTATAGGCAGTTGTAAGCAGCCAGATGTGTGTGCTGGGAACCAGACTTGGAAAGTCTGGTGTGATTTGCTACTATTGCTGTTCATCCAGGCTTCTTTGGCAAAGTACAGTGACGTGTGTAGCTATAAGCAAAGTCATTTTCCTTTTCACATTTCTGGATGCTGAGCAGGTCTGCCCGGCAGTGCAGCTGGGCATCTGACAAGGGCAGTATTCAGGCTACAGATTGCTGAGTTTTTGCCATCCCTTTATGGTGGGAGAGGCATGTACCAGCCTGTGACCTCTTATGAGGGGCTGATTTTCATCTCTTGGGTTCTGCCATCATAACTTATCTGCTCTCCAGTCACACTTGCTTATAAACATCATGTTGCAGGTCAGGTTTCAACGTCTCGGAGAGACACAGACCACCCAGAAAGTGGGCTGAAAGAGAGGAACCCAAGACTGTCCTCCATCTGGGACTTGAACTCAGGCACTGTAGGCGGGGTAGACCCTGTGTCTTATAATTAATCCCCAAACATAGACATTACAGGTGTACTTGGGCAGGACAGTCAGGAGTGTCCAAGCTTTTGACACTAAAACACAGTATTGTAATCTACAGAGTTTGCTCTTGGGGACTGCGCAACTGGGTTACAAAAAAGATATTTGGTTTTCAGTGAGTTTATCATTTTGTGTATGGATCCATTCCTAGACAGTCTTGGTTACAGGTGGCCTCGGGCAGTCTGCAGGTGGAATTGCGCTGAGATATGAATTTGAGAGTTCAGCATGTTGATGATGGAATGTATAGCCACGGAGCTAAGGTTAGAGACAGTTTCTTAAGAGAAGAAGTGAAGTTTTAAGTGCTGAGTGCTCAGGACTCCCCTCTGCTCCGGCAGTTCTGGTGGCTCGAGGCTCCTTCCTGCCTGTGGTCTGTGCCGTATAGTCCAGATGGAACTCCTGTGTGGCACAGGCCAAGTGCCCAGAGGAACGGCTGGCTCCTTTCAGAGCCCCATAGCCCATGCACACCCTTCCCAAGGCCTCACATGCCCCAGCAAACCTCCAAGCAGGGATGCAGATCCACTTTGGTAGGGCCTCCCATCTTTGTGTGGCTTCCATCGAGACCTGTGAACACATTCATCCACTAGGTCAAGCCAAAGTGTGATCCTTGGCAGAAGAAGATGTTTACCAGACTCAAAGAACGGAGAAGACCAGATGAACTAATGCAAGTCCAGTCAAAGCTTTTGAAGGTGAGAACATAGCCGTAGTCTATTACACGCAAGAGGCGTGTTCATGTCATCCTCAAAAAATGTGGAATTTCCTTCTCGTAAAATAAACAGACAAACCAGGCATTGGTGGCACAGGCCTTTAATCCCAGCTCTCAGGAGGCAGAGGCAGGTAGGTCTACATGAGTTCTGGGACAGCCATGGTGGTCACACAGAGAAACTCTGCCTTGAAAAACAAAAACAACCAAAAAAAGAAAGAAAGAAAACAAAACAAAAACAAAGAACAACAACAAAAATAATTGATGTGGGTTCACTAAGAAGACTTTATTTTGAGCTTTTCTTTCTTTAAATTTCTAGACAATTAATTTATTATATGTTCTGCCTGCATGTTATCTGTGCACCATGAGTGTGCCCAATGCCATGGGGGCCCGAAGAGGGTGTTGGGTTCCCTAAGGAGTTACAGACAGTTGTGAGCCACCTGGGTGCTGCTAGGAGTTGAACCTGGGTCCTCTGGAAGAGCAGTCAGTGCTCTTATCCTTAGAGCCAACTCTCTGGCCTCTTGTTTCAAACTTTCTATTCTAATTCGCAAACTTTAAAAATCCAGCTAGCTTTCAAGAGAGAATAAAAATTGTCAGTTCCGCAGGTTTGGTAGTACGCATGCTCCTTAAACCCCAGCAATCTGCAAAGGCAGATGGTCTCTGTGAGTTCAAGGTCTCCACAGAGTTCCAGTACAGCCCAGGTGACACAGTGAAAATCTGTCTTATAAAATAAATAAATAAATACATAAAAACTACCTGTCAAAGGAGCTGTTTTTTGCTTTGATGCTGAGCGGTGTGTGGTGCTGGTCTAACGGTACAGCCTCCTTGCTTTCAAACTCCCTCATCTTTGAAACCAGAAGCTTGGATGAAAATCACTTTCTGTGAAATTCACTGGCTGCGTTACTTATGTACAGAGTTCATTGCTGCTAAACGTGTCCACATCGCTGGGCAGTGACTCTCCAGAGCACCCGCGTGTCACAGCGTCAACACTGTCCGCACTGAACGGTTTCCCAGCATCCCCTCTTCCCAGCTCTCCCCAAGAACCACTGCTTCCTCTTTCTAGCAATTCTGCTCTTCTGACGCCTCAGCTGAGTGTACCCATGCATTACTCACCCTTTTTGGGGACTGGCTTACTCAGCACCATGCTGGAAAACTCATCCGAAACTTCTTCCCTTTCAAGGCCAAGTACCTACTAAGGTCTACTCATCCACCTGCTGAGGACCATGGTGGGTGCTGTGGACATTGCTGTGAACACTGGCATATGGATATCTGAGGGCTTGTTTTCCATTCTTTTGGGTACATACCAGGAAGTAAAATAGCTGGACCACACATTAACTGCATTAGTTCCTTTAGTCTTTGGCGTGTGTTTAGCTGATACCCTTTCATACAAACAACGCAGGGAGACAGGGTCCCTCTGGTGATGTTAAGACTGTTCCTGGTTACCTGTATATTTAGGGTGTTCCAGTTCAAGGCCTTCGCCCTGGTGACAAATTCTTATCTGGTAGATAGGTTATGTTGTTAAATTGTAAGAGCTTTTCACGTTCCCGGCCTTGCTCGGGTTCTTCATGTGTTACATTTCCTTTGTCAGATACATGACTAGGCAGTGTTCCCCTCATTCTATAAACCACCTGCTCATTCTGTCTCTATATCCTTTGAGTCAGAAAAGGTTTCAGTTTCACGGAATTCTGTCTTTCACCTTTTACCCCACCCCAACTTTTGGGTGTCAAAAACAAACACCCACAGTAAAAGAACAGAACACCCAGGGGGCGGAGAGACGGCGCAGCAACGGAGCCCTTGGTGGATCTTGCTGCGGACCTGAGTTTGTTTCCCAGTCCCTGTACGGTGGCTCACGATCATCTATAACTCCAGTTCCACGGGATGTGACGCCTTCTGACCTGCAGAGGCTCCAGACACACACGTGGTACACGTGCATATATGCAGGTCCAACACTCAAATACATTAAACAAAATAAACCTAAAATTTATTCTTAGGAGGCTTCTCTGTTTCCTTCTGGGAGTTTTGTATTTTCAGGGTTTAACCTCGTGTCTTTAATTCATCTAAGTCAATGTCTACATACAAGAACCAAGCTTCTCTATCCTGCCTGGGGCTATTCGGTTCTCCAGCATCCTTGACCACGTATGTGGGGTTTACCAGTGAGTTCCATTGACCTGTAGCCTGTCCTTACACCAACACCATACTATTTTGACTGCTATTTATTTTCAATATTTTCTAAACTCAGGGAGCCCGAGTCCTCCAGCCTTGTTCTTTTTCAAAATTGTTTGGCTCTTGGGGTTCCTTGAGATTTCCCATGAATTTTATGAGGAAGTTTTCTTATACTCACAACATATGTCTCTGGGATTTTGACTGGATTGGAATAAATGACCTTCAGAATTCTTTGTGGTATTAAAATACTGCAGTAGTGTGCCTGTCGTTGGTTGGTATGTGTGTACCACCCATGACAGGCTCATATGGTGAGACAGAGAGAACCTGTATTTGCATGCATGCCCTCAGCCCTGATGTTTTTGAAAGAAGGAAGGTTCACTTAAGGCTCCTTCCAGATTCTTGAGCAAGGGATCCCGAGGCCAGTGAGATGGTTCAGTAGGTAGAGGCCCTGGCTTCTAAGTTCCACAACTTGAGTTTGATCCCCTGGACACACGTGATGAAAGAAGAGAACAGAGTCTAGTACGTTGTCCTCTGACCTGCACATACATGCAGTAACACACATACACTCATGTGCACACACATACACACAGACAACCTTACATAGACACACACACACACACAGACACCCATACATAGACATACACACACACACAGACACCCATACATAGACATACACACACACACACAGACACCCATACATAGAGACATACACACAGACACATAGACAAACAGACACACATACATAGACACAGACACCCATACACAGACATACACACACATAGACACCACACAAACCCACATACAGACAGACACACAGATATACACACACAACCATAGACGTAGACACACGCGGAGACATATACACACTCATAAACACACACAGACACGCACACATAGGCATCAATCACACAAACACACATACAGACAAACATGCAGAAACACACACAGACATAGACACACACAGACACTCACATATAGACACAGACAAACACACAGTCTATACACACACAAACAAATAAATGCATTTAAAACAACAACAACAAAAAGAAAACACGGGACCTTCTTGTCTACTAACCGTCTCTTCTCCCTGCTCTACCAAAGATTTCTGACCCTGTGAAAGCCGCTCAGGTGTTGCAGGATCACGCTGCAAGGACAGTGACTACGGCTCCATGTCACTCATCTTTCACGACTTCTCAGGCTTCGCAGCCGTGCAACTATGATGAAGTCTGGCAGAATATTTACAGCAACACCAAGCTCTACCAGGTAGGACGGGAACACAGGGTCTGTTGGCCTTCTCTGTTCCCTTTGGCCCTGGGTGTCACCTTTAGGAATTCACCCTCTACATCAAAGCCCCATTATATGCAGGTAAATTCTCATAACCAGAAAAAGGAGCGCACAGATAGGTGAGTGCCATAGTGCCCTCATTCTACCCTACCCGCCATCAGCTTCCACAGATTCACAGCGGCAAGTCCTGTGCTGACTAGAACTCAGTGCAGCCAGTGGAACTCTGTGTGAAAGGTGCTCGAGGGACTGCTTAACAGTGTGGGCTAAGCAAGAGGAACACCAGGAAGTAAGAAGAGAATTAACGTGGGGGGGGGGGAGGCCAGCACAAGGGTGGGTGAGCACAGTGAGAGAAGCCAACCTTTTGATGAGAAGGAAAGACAGGCTGTGGATGCCCATGCACTCCAGACTGAAGAGAGCGGAGTGCCCAACGCAGAGGCTACTTTGGCAGGGTTCGTGGGGCGGCAGCAGCATGTGAGTCAGATCGAAGCAGGAAGAGATCAAATCCGGGGAAGCCAGTCAGGTGGCTGTTGTCAGAGAAAGGCGTGAAGCTGAGCCGAGAGAGGATGCTCCTACTCAGCATTAGCAGCCGTTGGTCTGGACCGTGGCACCATGGTGGTTTTGAAACCAGAATTTGCATTATTTGCTTGTGACTGATAGCTAACTTAGGACGGGAAGACCCGGTTGTGTTCGTAGTCTGAAAGGAAATGCCAGAAAAGAGAGAGAGAGAGAGAGAGAGAGAGAGAGAGAGAGAGAGAGAGAGAGGGATGGAGAAAGGAATGGGAAATAGGTGAGCTTGGGGGGAACAAGATGGGAGGAGTGGCCCCCGAGAGGGACCGGCATGCTGCTGCACCCTGGGAAGAGAGTAAGAGGGTTGCGCAAGAGTGAAAGGTTAGGGGGCGGGACTGGTCCCTGCTGGGGGACAGAGGCAGGTGTCCACATGCTCAAGGCTAGAGGACCCATGGAGAGCTCTGTGGTAACGCCCGGGGAAAGCCTCCAGCTAACATGCCCGACAACCCCTATCCCGTGACTATCGCCTGAACTTGGGGAGTGACTTGCAGAGCGGCAGAGATGGCAGGAAATCAAAGGTGTGGGGCACGCCCTGGACTGTCAATCATCCCAGGCTGGAGGAAGTGGGACCCGACGGGCTCCAGAGCATCTGAAGCAAACACAGATGCACACACACACACTTCCTCTGCCATTTTCATCTGCAGAGCGCAGTGAGCCACATAAGTCAGCAAAGGGGCATGTCAGTACAGGTCCCCTGCCACACCCAACCGTGAGTGTGCTCTCTCCTCAGCGGGCAGAGGGCGGACCTTGCCATTTTGCCCTATGGTACATATGTCACCGCCGAGAGGAATGTTTATCAAGGGGGACATTAAAAGTATCTGAGTCTTCTGCTTCCTCACCCAAACTGACGGGATGGGGAGCCCGAGAACAGACAAGGCATTCAGCCTTGGGTGTCTGAGTCTCAGCTATGTGCATGCTGGTCTGAGTCTCAGCTATGTGCATGCTGGGCAGTTTCACTCAGAGACCGAGTAACCCCCCTCTACCTGAGATTTCAGGTATTGACATCTGAGGGCCTGGATATGGCCATGCCCTCCTGTAACCCCAGCGCTTGGGAGGCAGAGGCAGGAGGAAACCAGCCTCAAGGTCACCTCAAGTTCAAAGCTGATCTGGGCTTCATGAGACCCTGTCTAAAAAATAAGAAGAGAAAAAAGAAAAGTAACGGAAAAAAAACCCAGAAAACCTCAAGCCAGTAATCACAAATTTGTTTTCTCATTGGCTGAGAAAGCAGAGAGCGTTAAAGTCTCGGGGGCCTAATGGTTAAAGGAGGCAAATAAGAGGAAGAGAGGGCCAGGGAGGGGGGTGGAGTTGGATGTTGAAAAAATGTGCAGATGCGCTGAGGTCCGGTGTCACTGGCTAGCAAGGGACCAGGGTTAGGAGCGCTGGGGGCAGAAAGCATAAGTTAAGGCAACTGCACGGGAAGCCATGTTGGAAATGAAAGCTGGAAGGCTCCTGCTTGCCTGTGCTGGGCCAAGTGGAGAGGAAACTGCCATCACTTTTACCTGAGCTCTGCTCCTTCCGGGGTGGGGGTGGCGGGGGGAGAGTCGGGTGGGATGGGTTTCCGTCTGCCCTCATCAAAGCTGAGTTGAAGGCAGTCTCCCAAGGGCTACAAAGACAGGGAAGGAGGAGGCTGGACACTGTGGCTCACACCTATAATCCCAGCACTATGAAGATGGAGGCAGGAGGGTTACCAAGAGTTCCAGGGCAGCCCAGGGTACAGAGTGAGCTCCAGGCAGGAGAGGCTGGGGTGCAGAGTGAGATATTGTCTTCAGAGAAATGAGGGGAGGGGAAGGAGGTAACGGAGAGAGGAGGAGGAAGGAAACTACTTCCTCTGGCTATTTGTTGATTTATGAATGTTATTCTTGGAATTGGCCAAAGACAGACAAATATGACCACTGTATTTTCACGTTGATTTGTGGTTGATAGATGATAAAGAGGCTTAGAATACTCATAAATGTTCAATTCCAGGGTTGGAGCTTGAGAAATATAACACACACATCACTCGTATGTATTAGCCTGCCTGTCTGCTCCCTCCCTCCCTTCCTCCACCCCCCCTCCCCGTCTCATCTCCCTCCTCCTCTCTCCCTCCTCCTCTTCTTCCCATCTTCCCTCTCTCCCTTCCTCCATCCCTCCCTCCCTGCCTTCAGCCATGTTTCTCATGCCTGGAGTTGTTCTGGGCTCCAGGAATGGATGATACACAATCCTTGCTCCTGGGATGCAATGTTCGGAAAATGAATTAAATAGGGACACACAAGTGTTCCTCTGTCGTGTGAGCACCGTGAGGAAAACTATGGGGCCGAGAACAGGGGTGGAGGGTGCACACCACAGAGCTCAGCCCAGCTCCATCTGGGGCGGCATGTGTATTTGAGCTAAGACCTGAGGGATGAAGAAAAGCCAGCCTCACAAATGGCCTGGAGAAAGAGTTTTCCTGGCAGGCTGGAAGACAGCAGTGTGTAAGAAAAGAAATTCTGAGTCAACAACCAACACTTTTTTTTTGCTCAATTTCACCATGAGTCATAATTGGCGACCTCTGTAAGTATTTCTGTCCCTTTATACAGAATCAAGGCCCGCATGGACTCATATTGCAACTCTGAATGTTGAGTAGCAGTCATGTGAGATCAGGGTTGGGTAAACAGAGGCACCTGGGCGGGTGCTGGAATGTGGGCTTGGATCTGAGGCTTGGGTGCAGTTTTGCAAGCATGTAGCTGTCAAGCATTTTTAGCGTCTGTGTGAGGTCAGCGCTCTGACTCTGAGGCTGGAGAATGGCAGCTAAGAGCTGTGGCAAGTTCCTTTCTCCAGGGCGTCCGTTCCGAACAGGGGAGGCGGAGCTGGGTGTCTGGACAGTTGTGAGAGAACACAGTTGTTAGTTACTTGTGGAGGAGCCTGGCAGGGAATAAAGCTTTCTTTAGGGTTTCACTTTTTAATGAAACAATTATTTTTATAGTTCAGGGCTTACAGAAAAGTTACATGGGGTTTTCCTGCCACTGGAATCTTACGTTATCACAGGGCATCTGTCAGCTGAGGACCTAATCCTGGTGTATGATGTCAACTAAGCTGGGTGCGGGCAGATTTCACCCATTTTCCCCGCGAACGCCCTCTCTGCTCCAGCCTTCATCCAGGGCTCCCTTAGTTATATCTACCTGGATTCATCTGCCTGTAGTTTTCCAGTCTTTCCTTGTTTATCATGACTTCTACTGCTGTTCTGAGTTTAGGCCAGGCAGCTGGTAGAAGGACCCTTTTTAAAAATAATTCCAGGCCAGGCTTTCTCTAGGCCCCAGCTTCTTCTTTTTTTTAAATAATTACATATTTATTTATTACATATACAGTGTTCTGCCCACATGTTTCCCTGCAGGCCAGAAGGGAATAGCTCTTGTTAAAAACCAGGCCTAGGAACTAGACCCATTAAACTAGCTTTATACGGAGATTTCCTTCCTCAGATGACACTCACTGTGTCTCGAGCACCCACACACACACACATACAATAAATAAATGTCTTGAAAATAAATTTTAAGAAGAATGAAATTAGATTGACAAATATAAAAAATAAACTGATTTAGCTTCAGACATGTCATATTCTGAACTGTGGCCCTGACAGCCCGGCGCACCTGTAAGACAGGGAGGTTTGTTGTTAACTGTTGCTGTACGTGTGGAGTCTGGACAGCTTTCCCTGGGTGGCAGAAAAATACTGACAGCAATGTAATGTTTACAGTTTCCTAGTAGCTGCGTCACAAAACAGAATGGCAAGGGAGCAAACAAGTTGGAATTACATCTTTTCCTCCTGGACTAACAATGGATGGATCTAGGTAGCAAGCACAGAGCTGACTGGCCCCTCTGCTCCGTGGAGCCCTTGAAAGGCGCTCTGTCCTCAAGTTTCAACAGGTGTGGCTGCTGTACCCGAGGTCACATGGCCTGAAATAGAGCCCCAGCTGTTACATTCCTGTTCCAAGGAGGAGGGTGGAGAATTGGGGGTGGGGAACCTACTTCTCTGGGATATTCCCAGAAGCTGCAAGATGGCTGGCACTTTGATCCACACTCTTCCTGTTCTCCATTTACTTAATCACAGGGCTACAGTGACCAGTAGGGCGAGGCTTGGAAATGTCGTGTTCATCCGAGTGGCCAAGTGCCAGGATGTATATTCCGTTGCTGTCATAAAAGAGGAAACTGGCTATTTGGAATACTCCTCAGATGATGCAATCCCACCAACCAGATACTGGCAAGCGTATAACTCAGACGGGTTACCACCTCAGCCTCTGCCACTGCATCACAAAGGGGTGCATTTCGGGAGAACAGGCTGTGTGTCTAGGAGCCAAAGGACAACCAGGAGAGGCTGTTCAGAGGGCCTAGGACGGGTCACAAACAGCACCGCCTCAGGTGTCCCCGGGTGTCCAGGTACAGGACTGAACCCTTCTGAGCACCGGGATAAGTGAATGTGTCGGATGCTCAACCACACATCCACAAGAGGCCTGACAGGAGCCCTTATTAAACTCATCATTCTAGACGATCGGTGAGCCCCGCATTCAAGAGGAGGCATTATCTCAAAAACCAAAGGTCAGCGGGGGCAAAGTGACTGAAGGAGGCAACTGATACCCAGCTGCAAGTTCTGGCTGCTTCTGCGGGAAGATACAGGCACACACACACCCACACACACACTCAAACACACACACACTCACACACACTCACTCACACACACATACACTCACCCACACATGCACAACACATACACACACTCACAAAACACACACATTCACACACTCACACACTACACACACATACTCAAAATCACTCACATGCACACTCACACACACACTACACATACACAACTCACATACTCAAACACAGTCACACATGCACACACACTCACACACACTACACATACACACACTCACAAAACACACATGCTCACACACACTCACACACACCACACACACGCTCACACACACGCTCACACGCACTCACCCCCACACGCGCACACACACACACTACACATATACACACACACACAGAGAGAGAATCAAAGGTCAAGCATATACATTCTTGAAAAGTGTTCTAAATAAAGTGAATGATGTAAAAGACAAGAATGGAATGGATTTTACATAACAGATGTCAACAGGACACAGACTTATCTGGTGAAAACAGCTTCTCCCTCATTCATTGTAGGAATCTCGGTTTCCACATGCTGACTGGGATGAAGACACCTTTACTGGCAGATCTGATCCGCTTTAATCATGACATTTACTTCTAGGATGGCCTGTGATTTGCCAATATCACAAGTGTTTACAAATCAAACTAATGCTGTTTTTGACAGAATGAAAATGTGAAGGACGATGGTCTCTCAGTGGAACCAAGCGACGGGGACCTCGCAAAAATACGCCTCAGCCAGAGTTCTGACGGGTCTGTCAAGCGGAGGACAGAGACGGGGTAATAAAATCGGTGACTCGTGGAAATGGGTTTAAAACTTGAGGAAACTGACTGATGAGAGTGTAGTTCAAAACCACAGGAAGTCAGAATAAATGCAGAGCTGTCAGCATGGGTCAGCTACCTGAATTCTCCCCAGGACTGTGCGTTTCATGGCTATTGCAAAGCCCCTTGGGTTCGGTCACGTACCCCGTGGGATGTGCAGGTTTTCTGAGCTGCTTTCAGATGAGAGGTTCTCATACTATGTCTTCTGTGTGCTAAAGATACAACTATGCCGTGACCCTGCAACTGCTGGGCTTGAGTGATGGGACTGAGCCCGACCAGAACCCTGTCCTGATGAGAGGGGCCTACTTATCCTTCTTGTGTCTACGCCACCTGCACATCCGGGAGCTACAGGTGTGGGCACTATGGCACAGCTGGCCCCAGGCACTGCACAAGGCTGACTGTCTAGAGCCGGGGCATCCCTGCCTTTAACAGCAGCTCTCTCCCTCCTGGGTCTTTCCTGTGTGACATCAGTCCCTTCCAGGGGCAGACCATGCCTTCCTTTCTCCACAGTAGGGCTGTCCCCATGAAGTCCCCATCAGGGTCTGGTCTGTAGGGCAGGGCAAAGCACAGGGCGGTGCCCTGACTTTGATCTTCCTCTGTTCCAGCGCATCTGTCTGGGAGTTCTTAACTACTTCAGATCCGTTGAGCGAACTTTGACAATTGACACTTCAGGCCTTACCTTGGTTTCAGGGAAACTGGTCCCCACCGTGGGAGATAATGCTTGGGTAAATGTGGCAAAAGGCGGTCTGGGCACCTCGCAAGGCCTGGGGGCTCATCACTATGTCCACGGGACCCCTGCTGAGCATAAGGTGAGTTACTGCGCTGGTTTTTATGCCCTGATTAGTGTGCCTTCCGACTGTGTTTTCTTAGCACTACAGTCCCTTAACATAGTGAGGTGGCAAACAGGGAGTCATGTTAAGCAAAATAAACATGGTTGGGAATAACCATTTGGGAGTGGAGGCTGAGGGATGGAGACCGAAGACAGGAGAGTAAGAAACGCCAGAAGCATATTATGTACCTACATAAAAATCACAGTGAAACCCATTATTGGCCCAGTTAATGCATGTCAATAAACTGTAGAGAAACGGGAAGTGCAGCTAAACTCAGTGACCAGAGAACAGCCTGTCATCAGAGAATGTGGAAGCCAAGCAGAGGGAACTTGCGGTTCAGAGTCTCCTGAGCTGCGTGTGTTAATGAGGCCTCTGTCTCAGACCTAAGCTAAGGAACAAACATCCCCAACAGTGACCACTGGAGAGCAGGAAGCAGCCAGAGCGCAGAGTCTGGAACCACCTCAGGAAGGGAAGGATCTGACCAGTGGGTAGTTGCTTTCGTGTGAACAGATGTGAGAAGTCCTTCCCTCTCCTGGCCTGACTCTCATGTTCTCACAAGACGCTCTCTGACAACAACATGCCAATGTGTAGTCCTAGCACTCTGAGGTCTGGGTAGAAATATCTGGAGTTCAAGGTCATCTTCAGGTACATGGCTAGGGGCCAGACCTGTCTACATGAGACTTTCTAACTTCTGTTTGCCCAAAAGATTCTAGATTAAGCCAGGCACAGTGTTTCATGCACGCCTGTAGTATAAGCACACCAGAGTGTGAGCCCATCCCGGTTACCTCGTGGGACCATCTCAAAAAAGAAGAATTGAAAGGCCAGCAAGATGGCTCATGGGGTAAAGACGCTTGCCTTCAGGAATTAGGACCCGAATAGAATCCCTAGGACCAACGTGGTTGAAGGAAAACGTGACTCCTGTAAATTGACCTCTGACCTCCATACTTGTGACGTATGTGTGTGCATTTGCACACTCACTGTGTCTCGAGCACCCACGCACACACATACAATAAATAAATGTCTTGAAAATAAATTTTAAGAAGAATGAAATTAGATTGACAAATATAAAAAATAAACTGATTTAGCTTCAGACATGTCATATTCTGAACTGTGGTCCTGACAGCCCGGCGCACCTGTAAGACAGGGAGGTTTGTTGTTAACTGTTGCTGTACGCGTGGAGTCTGGACAGGTTTCCCTGGGTGGCAGAAAAATACTGACAGCAATGTAACGTTTACAGTTTCCTAGTAGCTGCATTTAAGACACGGAGAAACGTGTGCAATTAATTTTAGCACAACCATGTAACCCTATGTACCAGATACATTATTCTCACATGTAATCAATATTTAAAAAATCAATGGTAAGACGGGGTCAAACTTTTGTCTGGATCTATAGAAGCTGGCGCATATTACCTACAGGAAGCCATATTGGACAGTGCAGCTCTGGATCTCAGGGAGTATTTTATTTTCCTCACCCAGTGGCGTAGTCTTCCACTCAAAGTCCAGGACAGCGCTCCTCCCCCTCCTCCTTCCCCTGCTCTTCTCCCTCCTTCCCCTCCTCCTCCCCCTCCTCCCCCTCCTCCTCCCCCTCATCCTCTCCCTCCTCCCCCTCCTCCCTTTCCTCCTCCCTCCCATCCTCCCCACCTTCGTCCCCCTCCTCCTCCCCCTCCTCCTCCCCCTCCTCTTTGCCCTCCTCCCCATCCTCCCTTTCCTCCTCCCTCCCATCCTCCCCACCTTCGTCCCCCTCCTCCTCCCCCTCCTCCTCCCCCTCCTCTTCGCCCTCCTCCCCATCCTCCCTTTCCTCCTCCCTCCCCTGCTCCCCATCCTCCCTCCCCCCTCCCCCCTTCCTTGAGCTCTTGCACCTCCTACCCCCTCACCACACTCGACGTCTGCCCTGATCACCTCCCCTCAGGCTCCTTACTCCTGTAAGCTCAGCCACAGGCCTGCTTGGCTTCCTTCTTCATGCACCTGTGCAGGGGAGCCGGACTCTTCCTGTGTTGGTCATACCACAGCTGTGTGATAGACACTGTAGTCGGATTTTTCTTTGGGCCACCAGCTCACAAACAGTGACACAGACACTTATTAATTATGAAGGCTTACACTTGACAGCCTTGTTCCTAACCACCTCTTATAACTTAAATTAACCCATTTATATCACACACACACACACACTAACACCAGGAGACAGCTCTGGTTCCTGTTTGTTACCTTCTAAATGTCCTGAAGACTAGACGTGGGTGACAGAAACTGAGGAGGGCACCCGTGCCCCAGGCACAAAGAAAGAGACACCTACTCCAATGAACGGGCCTTACCAAGGCAGAGCTTCACCTTCGTTTCATAAAAGTGGAGAAGCAAGCACGTGTAGATGGCAAATTCACTGGGCTTTCACCGAATGCAGGTGGCCCGTCACTCACTTGAGTTGTGAGGATGCAGCAGGCCTTTGTATAAACCAAAGTTTTACCAGGTGGGAAGACTGGAACATTGCACAAAGGTCTTATAAGGTGGGGGAGATAAAGTGTTTGAATTCTTTGCTGTAAACAAAATTTCAGTGTTTGACAGGAGCCTCCATATATAATTCAGCTCTTGGCTTGTGGTTGTGCCCCAGCAGCCTGCTGTGTGGGAGGAGAAACCCACTGCCTGGGCCGTTTGGACTGACAGAATACAACTCTCCCTTTTCCAGTAACTTTGGGGTTTGGCCTTCTTCCCCCAGACCCACGGCATGCAATTCCTGGAGTTCTCGGAAGTTGACAACCAGGACGACTCCCACAGCACACAAGCTGGCTGTGTCCACACGCAGGACCAGCTTGGCCTGTATGTCATGTATGACTGTGCCCTTCGGGATCTGAGGGAGCTGGAGTCAGAGCTGCTGCTCATTGCCAGTCACTACATTGAGAAAGAAAAAAGTAAGGGGGATGATTTTTTAAAAAACCAACTGGCCAGGGCTGGAGAAGAAGCTCCAAGGAAGAGTATTAGGTCGGTGTGCACAAAAACAAAAAACGAATAAGCCAGTGACCAAACAATAGTGTTTAGAACTTGAGTAGGCGTACACTGCGCCTTACCCAAGTGTGTGCACTCGTGGGGCTCAGTGCTTTGTGATGGAGCTGTGCTCGTAGGTGACCGCTTGTAGTTCTTGCTGTGGTTACAGTGCAGTTCTACATCGCCCATTGGGTAGAAGGGATGTGGTACAGGGCCCTGGGGAGAGCAAAGGCCGCAAGTGTGACGAATGATGTTTCTCCTGAGCCAACTGACATCACTGGATTCCTAACAGGAAACCATGGGCATGCCAGGGGATCTGGCTAAGTGAATGCCAGACAAGTCCCAGAAGGAGGGCCCATGCCTGGGGCTGATGAGGCAGCCCACAATCACCGTTCTTGTTTCTTTGTGGCACTAGACTTCCAGTTTAAAAGTAGGGAAGGCGAGGCTGTTTCTCAGTGGCATTCCCTGTTGCATTTGGGAAGAGCTAAGGATGTCTAAACCCATTGCAGCACAGCAGGTGTTCAGAAGGTGTTCATGCTGAGTTATAATTCATGTAGACCGTGACAGATGGTAATCCGCCTTCATCCTGCTAGAAAGTGCCTCCCCAAGAGTGTTTGACAACTGACTTTCAGATCCCAGGCAGAGTTAATTTAATACATATTAGAATATGCAGTCACTGCTACAACTGTGAGTATCTGAGCACTCTAGAACATTTCATTTCAGCTCCTAGCTTTTCCCCTCACTGGTTACACAACTTTTGTCCACATTGATTGATCACCCCGTGTAACTATTTCTGTCTGCTGCGAATGTAATGCCATTGAAACACATTCAACCACAAGGACACCTTTCACTGAAACTGGCCAGCAGGGCTCTCTACCAGACATTGTGAACTGCTTTCCCAGCTGCTGCCTGAGAGGACCCGCGTCAGAGCCTGGCTCTTGCTAAACATCCATCACAGACCCAACAATTCTTCAGGTCACCCATCAGTATCTGGGTATTTCTTGCCTTCCAGTATTTTCCCCTGAAGCAGGCCACTTACAAACTGGAAGCAGGAATCATGTTGGCAGTGAAGCCAATACCAACCCTACAGAAAACACTTCAGCCAAATGGTGATGATGACTAAGTGATTGATTGGCAATTGGTGCAATGACAGAATGTCTTAGAAGGCTCTCTGGAAATTTTGGACACAGCTAACATTAATGAAAATATTAGGGTTGGGGAGATGGCTCAGTCAGCACAAGTGCCTGCCTTGCAGTCATTAGGACCTAAATTCACCCACACACACTCACACTCACACATATACACACTTACACATACTCACACATATACACACACACACATACTCACACATACACACTCACATACACACAGACACACACATACTCACACACATATACACACTCACACATACACGCACATATACACACTCACACACATACACCACACACACACACTCACACATACACACACATACTCACACACACACACACACACACACACGGGGAGAAAGAGAAAAAGGACAATAATCTGAGTTGGGAGAAATGTATGTGCTACCTTTAATGCTGTAAATTCAGGGACATTTTAGCAAAGATTTCATGTCAGCTGGTTTTATTTCTAAACAGATTTCAAGGGTTAGGGTGTAGTTTATTTGGTCAAGTGCTTGCCAAGGATGCAGGAAGCCCTGGGCTCCATCTCCAGCACTGCCTGGGCACCGCAGACATGTCAGTGATGTCCGCAGACAGGAGGGTCAGAAGTTCACCCTCAGCTACATGAGACTGGCTCATTGAGCTGGAGGTGGTGGCCCACACTTGTAATCCCCGCCCCCAGGAGGCAAAAGTGGGTGGATCTCTGTGAGTTTCAGGCCAGGCGGTCTATATATCAAGTTCTAGGCAAGCAAGGGTGATGCAGTGAGGCCCTGTATCCGAAAAGAGAGAAAAAAAAGTAATTACTAAACCAGGCAGTCGTGGTGCACGCCATTAATCCCAGCACTCAGGAGACAGAGGCAGGCGGATGTCTGTGAGTTCCAGACCAGCCTGGTCTACAAGAGCGAGTTCCAGGACAGGCTCCAAAGCTACAGAGGAACTCTATCTTGGAGAAAACCAAAAAAAAAAAAAAAAAAAAAAAGTATTAGTCTTTAAATTTAGAAAGTGAAACAAAACTCAAGTGTAGACTTTGGGCCTGGTCTTCGCAGGTGGCTCCTCAGTTGACTCTGGGGAGTCCCAGTTGCTGGCTCAGATCTACTCCTGAGGTGGAGTCTCCATGTCCCTCAGAGAAGGAGTGTCTGAGAAGGCCGTCTCTAACCATACCCCTGGATTCTTCCCAGGCCACAGAGACAGCGGCAAGTCCAAGAGCAGTCAGCACTGGGCCTGGGCCCATGCCAGTGTGGACAGATTTGCTGTGCTGTGTGACCTGTGGACCTGGGAAGCCAATCTGCTAGAAAGCAAACGCCAGGTATGATTTCTAGAAGGCAAACGGTCTCTAAAAGGTCTGTCTGCCAACTGCGGTGGTATACGCCTGGGATCACAGTACCCAGAGTCTGCAAGTGAAGCCAGCCTGGACTACGGATGAGCTCCAGGTCAGCTGGTTGCATAACAAGACTGTCTCAAACAAAAAGTAGACAAAGCTAAACATCTAAGTCTGCTTGCACCAAAACAGGCCACAGAAGGAGACAAAGTGAATATCCCACTACAGCAATAAAGCTTTAATTAATTAATTTGAGTTTATTGTTCACACAGTTTGAACACTGTGTGAGTGTGTGTGTGAGAGTGTGTGTGTTTGGGTGTGAGAGAGTGTGTGTGAGTGTGTATGAGTGTGTGAGAGTATGTGAGTTGTGAGTGTGGCTGTGTGTGAGTGTGAGTGTGAGTGAGTGTGTTTGTGTGTGAGTGTGTGAATGAGTGTGTGTTTGTGTGAGTGTGTGAATGAGTGTGTGTGTACTTGATTGTGGGAGTCACTGAAGAATAACCTCAGGCCTTGTTCACTACACATAAGTTATTTACAGCTGAGCTATAACCAAACTTCTCTTTTTGCTTTTTCCTTTATATTTTAGAGGTTTTTTTTTTTTTTTAAGATTTATTTTATTTTGTATGTATGTTTTGCCTACGTGCATGAATGCACACCGCATGTATGCCTGGTACCCTTTGAGACCAGAAGAGGGCATCAGATCTCCCTGGAACTGGAGTTATGGCTGTGAACCACCATGTGGGAACTGGGAATCGAACTCTGGTCCTCTGCAAGAGCAGTAAGTGCTCTGAACTGTGGAGTCATCTCTCTAGACTCCTGATTTTTACTTTTCATTATGAGGCAAAGCTCACTAAGTAGCCCAGGCTGGCCTTGAACTGTGGTCCTCCTATGTCAGCTTCCTAAGGAGCTGGAATTACAAAGGACCATGTCACCAGGCCCAGTTGAATTTTATTTTCCTTGTGGTTCTTCATCACAGAAAATAAAATGCGAAGGATCCTACTTTATCTTGCGGGCATATTTGTTAGCGGGCTCTGAGATTCAGGCTCTTCCTAGCATGTGTATGCTGGCAGTAAGAATGAGTGGTTCGTGCTCACAATCCAGTCACAGAGACAAGCCTACACAGAGGCAAAGCCTACAGAGAGGCAGTGCCTGACACATCCCAGCCACCACATAATCGTGGAGTACCGAGCATAGTCCTCAGGAAGCAGGAAGTGCTGCGCACAGCAGGAGGAGGCTGGCTACAAAGCAAGGATTGCAACCAGCTAACTCACCAAGCACATCCTCAGGGGTTCACATCTTAGTAAGGAATGTGACTTGCAGGTGGTGTTGTTTTAACTCATTTGGCTCTGGGTCTTTGGAGACACACCACCCAGCTCCCAAATTATCACATGGAGGCTTATTCTTTTTTTTATGAATGTCCACCGTTTGCTTGGCTTGTTTCTTGCCAGCTTTTCTTAACTTAATTATGGCATCCACCTTTTGCCTGTGGGCTTTTATCTTTCTGTACCCTGTATACCTTTCTTTACCTTTTACTCTGTGGCTTGCTGTGTAGCTGTGGGACTGGCGCCTGGAGCCCTTTTCTGTCTCTCCTCCTAGATCTGCTCTTCCCAGATTTCTCCTATTTATTTCCTCTGCCTCCCAGCCCTGTCCATACTTGATCCTGCCCTGCTGTTGGCCGTTCAGCTCTTTATTAGACCATCAGGTGTTTTAGACAGGCAGAGTAACACAGCTTCACAGAGTTAAACAAATGCAAGATAGAAGAATGCAGCACATCTTCGCATCACTAAACAAATGTTCCATGGCACAAACAAATGTAACACATCTTCATTATTTAGCCCTTCCAATCATCACTTATTGATAGAGGCTTTACAAAGGCTTAGTTTTCTTTTTAATTATGTGTGTGAGGTTACGTACACCTGAGTGCAGGCATCTGTGGAGGCCTGTGGCGGTAGATCTCTTGGAACTAAAGTTAGAGGCAGGTGAGAGCCCCCCAACACGGGCACTGGGAACTGAACTCAAGTCCGTGAATCAGCAGCCAGTACGTGCTGTTTTGGAGATCCATACATACACACAAAAGATGACTCACATCTTTAAGACGCTTAAAATCTAAGGAAGGTGTTGGGGTCTTACATGTACAAGGTTTTCACAAAGGTGGATCCTTCATCCTGAAAGCCCAAGGGTTTCTATGACAGTTATGAGCATACGCCTTACTGTTTAAAAGGCCTCTGGATGGGAGCTCTGGAATAAATACTCACATATAAGGCTGATGGTTATCAGGGTGGTAGTGTACACCTTTAATGCCAGAACTCAGGAGGCAGAGGCAGGTGATCTCTGAGTTTGAGGCCAGCCTGGTCTACAGAGTGAGTTCCAAGACAGCCAGGGCTACTCAGAGAAACACTGTCTCAAAAAGCAACAAACAAAATACTGATATTTATTATCATAAAAATTAAAATACATTTCTACAAGTCACAGAAAAGGAGAAATTCATGGTCTATAAAAGTGTATCCAGTCTCTAAGCAAAGCATCCGTGTAACTGGAGCACATTCCAGCACTGGGGAACATCAGTGGAAAGAGATGTCTTGTTTGGGGACTGTGAAAGTTTAGAAAATTATCATTAAGTCTTCTCAGAGGAAAGGACATTTAATCTCACCATTAAAAGAGTCATAAGACGTATGGCAGAAGAAGATTTTTTTGTTGTTGTTGTTTCATTGGGATAGGGATTCTTCGTGTAGCCCTGGCTTTCCTGGATCTTACTCTGTAGACCAAGCTGGCCTCGAACTCAGAGTGGGCTATCACCACCCATCGAGGATGGATTGAATAAGAAACCCTGAGAGAGGAGGTCACCTCCAGTGCTGATCTGGAGAGTTTAGAAGGAACCTGATAATAAGGATGTGGCTATGAGAGCCGGAAATGAGGGCACATGGTAGGAGTTAGGGGTTGGGTATGAATTTTGGAGTAAGAGGAGAAAGGGATTTGAAAGGGCTTCCTGGGGGTCAGGAAGGAAGGTGGTAACTAAAGCAGAGTATGAGAGGAATAGGGCGGCATTAAAGAAGATGAAAGCGTGTGCACAGGCACACACGCCATTGTGAACCAGATGTGGTGTTTTAGGTCCAAAGCTGTTAAGTAGATACGGGCTGAGCCTTGACTGTGGATGTTAACTCACAACCATGAGTGGGAAAGGCTGGAGAGTCTGAGTGGACCCTGATGACGCCCACCTTTGTGGGGCGAGCTGTGAGAGTCAACAGGAAAGAGTTGGTGGGCGCCCACTGACGTGGAGCACAGTAAAGCGTTGAGGAAGATGATCCCCCAAAGACCCTCGCTCAGGTGGCAGCTGTGTAGGGCTGTACCAGGAGGTGGGTGTGGGAGGGGGGAACCAGACTACCACAGCTGTGATGTGGTCTGAAACCGGGAAGTGGGAGTGGTTTCTTTGAACTGTGTTTGTAGCGGAATAGATGGTTAACGATTTTATTTGTCCTTTGGTCAGTTACTCATGGAGAGGTATGTCACTGGTCACTGGTCACTTGGAAACAACCGTCTCAGCTGAGAAGGGGCAAGCCTCAGACTTTGGAAGACAGGTGTCTTCCCAGCTAACCTTGACCTGCCAGTTAAAACCTTACGTTGACCAACTTGCTGCAGGTGGCTGTATTAAATGTAAACAAAGCAAACTCATTACTCCAGGCACAAACTTTGTGTGTGTGTGTGTGTGTGTGTGTGTGTGTGTGCGCGCGTGTGTGTCTGTACATGTGCATTCAAGAGTGTTCTCTTTCTCTTTCATGGAAGCCTCAGGCAGGATTCAATAGCAATAGAAGAATCACAGGGCAGAAAGGTCAGAAAAACCAAGCTGTAGTTCATTTGTAGTTCCAAACCATCAAAACTGCCTCCTTCCAGGGAGTATGAAACTATTTTAATTTAAAACCATCATTGAAAATATTCCCCTCCATCCTACCCTGAAAATAAGTTCCCTATAGACACTGAGATTCCTGGGCCAAAATTGTAAATTATGGTTTTCCAAGTCAGAAATTCTAGCCAAAGAGCCCATCTTAAATGACTGAGCCAAATTTCCATCCGAGATACAGTTGATCCCTGACCCCTGTACTGACTGCTCTGCCAATTCTCCTCAGCTGTTTTCAATTGCTAAATACATTGGTGTCACCACTTAAGAAGTTCTGGGACATATTAAGTTCTTTTGAGTTCTTAAAATATCCACTGTATGTATGAAGACTCATAAAGTTAGAGCTGATGTCAACTTAAGTGGCTTGGGGGACAAGAGAAGCCAGGGAGTTGGCGTGGCAGCTCTAGGTCAGGCTGTCCTGTCTCCTACTTTTCCCCAGACAGGTTCTGTGATGATCTGAATTCATGTATGCATCACTAAAATAATTTCAATTAATTACCCCTGTGACAACAGGGTAGTTCTGTGGCAATTCGTGTCTAGTGTTATCTTTCTATTTGACGCTTTAGTGTGACCTAAAACACTTTGATAGTTACCACAAATCTTCGATCTTACAAATAAACTCAGTAAAGACAACCTCACAGATAAGAAAAACCCTGTTTTTCCAATGTTTCCTTGCCACTGTCCCTGAGTGCTGCATGTCACTTTGCTGAGAGCTGGCCCTTGACACACAGAGGTGACATTTGACAGGTTAGGAAGACTTCTCAGGCAAATATCAGCCCAGAGTTTAAATGGAAATGGGCCAGTTAGCAAACAGATAACAAACGAGACCCATCGGGCAGAAAGACCACACCCCACCCTCGGCAGGAAGGGATGCATAATAAAATTGTGCAGTGACCCACCTGAGACCTTGTCTCAGCCAACCTAAAGATGGAAAAGATGTTACTAGCTGAAGTTACACTTCCCTTCTCAACAGATAAAATGTTGCAATATTTGGGACACACTTACCTTAAAGGAGTGTTTGTTATTTATCTGAAATTCAGACTTGGTTGGATATCCTGTACTCTTACTTATTCCGGGAGAGCAGGGCTGCGGTTGGCAAGCCACAGGCTCACACTGGATGAGTCAGATGACAGTTTAGGGGACCATGCTCTTGCCTTCTCTCATGTGAGTTTCAGGGATTGAACTCAAAAAGGTCCTCAGACTTGGAGGTAGGTGCCCTGCTTGCTGAGCCATCTTGCCTGCCTAGACCGCCTATGTTCCTATTTACTTTCTGACTCTGGAATCTTCACCATCCACAGGGAACACCAAATTGGGATCACTAGAGAAAGGACTCTCCCCACAGCCAACTTCCCTTGTCAAATAGGCAACAATTGGATTCTTTGTCCTACAACAGGTCAAGGAGTTTACACACCATAAAGCAGCTCCTAGGATTGCCAGGATGAATTAAGGCAGTGAATGCTCCTTCTCTGATCTCTTTCT